CTCTCATTTACAAAGCATGTTGAGTCAACACACCAAGTGGGGGGAAAACAGCCATGCCATCTACATGTTCAGTTCCATCAGTCTCCTCATTTGGCGAGTGATGAATCTGAACAGGAGAAACTCCTTATGTGCTCACAACATAAATGAGAACCCTGACTCTTTGAATTGCTGAGTGCATGGAGAGCACCAATAAGTGAAGCTCTCCTCACTTGGTTTTATCCTCCTGCACATGAAAACCAATAGTTGTTAAATTCTGTCAAGAGAATTTTTATTTGAATGATTTTTGCACAGATTATTAAACTATTCAAACAGTGTTGCTAAGCTATGGCAGTTCCCTTGTCGCATGGACTTTCAAACAACAGGAATGTTTAGTGGGTTGTTTCTTTTTGATCAAGCAGGTAGTCTTCTGTACTTCCTTTTTGCATGTGCTTTTTTCCCTCAAAGGGCAAAGAGAACATTTTTGTGCAGAAACATTTTTGCACAAATTATGGAAACCTCCCTCTCTTATTCTCATGCTATAGGAAAGAACTTTTGTGGAGGCTGACAGTTTCCCAGGAGCCCATCTTGAAACATCAGTGCAGATATTCTTCATATTTCTAGCCTCCATAGAAGTAAAACATCATTTGAGAAATACTGTGGCTAGATTAGAGTACCATCCTTCAGTTCAACCCTCAAGGAGCCTCCCTCCCTCCTTTCCGCTTATTTGATCACCAGAGCAGTATCTTCACTCAAAGCCTTACATCTAGGTTAGAAGAGATGGGAGGGGAAAAACCATTACAATGTACTAGGGTTTGGGTTTTTTTTTATATTTCCCCTCAATTTATTTGTTCTATCATTTCAGCTTTCCCATACTGTTTTTCTTTGCTTCTGTTTATTTTTCATGGTGTGAGGATTCAGCTTTTGTGGTGGTCTTCTTAAGCCTTTGGTTTGAAGACTGTTCTTTTCCTTTAAATGCTTTTCTTACACTTTCAGACCATTGCAACCTGTGTCTTCTTTGTTTGAGGGTCATCTGGTTGAGTCCTCTGTGCATTGCCCCATCTAGTTTGGAGAGGCCAGAGCAAATAGGGTATTGTTGCTTCATGCTTTTTGGGAGACAAGGCTTTCCAAGCAGCAGGCACTAAAGCAAAGCAAAGCAGCTTCATTTATATACCGCTTCATATCACGCTATGGGATGTCTAAGTGGTTTACAACTGTAAGCCCATTGCCCCCCAACAGTTGGGCACTCATTTTAGTGACCTTGGAAGGATGTAGGCCTGAGTCTAGCCTGAGCCCTGGCTAATATTGAACTCGCAACCTTGTGGTTTATGAGTGAGTGGCTGCAATACAAGCATTTAACCACTGCGCCACCAGGGCACTAGTAAAACTGCTATTCAGAGTTGTTTCTTAGCATCCTGCTCTATACTGTCTCCATTGAGTAGCATCTTAATGGAGGAGGAGGCTCCCAGTTTGGGGGGGGGGAATGTGCAGCAACTTCTGGGGCAGTTGCTTCCAGGTCTTTGATGGCTCTTTCAGTGAAAGGACTGTTTGGGCTGGTTTTCAGGTTGATGAAGATTCCTAGTTTCACTGGATATGAAGAGTCTTCTTCACATTTTGGTGTGTGCATGTACCTCCTAATAACTACATCCACTTGTGATTATGTATACAATTCATCATTGAGATGAAAGGCAGTTTCCATTCAATGATGGGTCTTTATAAGCTCTCAATATCCATATTTTCTGATATTACCTCAGAGAGAAGCACAGTTAGATTCTGCAGTTTAATGCATGGAAGTACCCATTCTGTCTTTGCCTGCTTTTTCTAGTGCCACCATCAGTCTATCTCACTCCTTTTTGTGCATTTGTATCTCTCAGAACCACCCTCTTTTTTCAGTGATTAAGACTGTATGTCAGTCAGAGGGGAGGAGGAATTAACAGAGCTGTCCAAGAATTCAGTTCCCTTCTCTTCAACTTTGTGAGAAAAGTAATGCATGGTGCGATTTTAAACACTACTCATTTACTACTTTAGTCATCAGCCTCTGGTCAAACAAAACACAGGGTAGATACTTCTCTGTAGCCCATAGGGCATTAGGGGAGAATTTTCCTCCAAATGCAAGCCACTCTGTTGTAATCAAAACTTGCATGTTCCAGAGACGAGGAGAATCCTGTTGAGAAGTCAAGTATGGAGGGATGACACTGTCCTACCCAAGGAAGCTTAGTGGTCCAAGACAAAGTGACAAGGACAAAGAACTGTGTATGTATTTATATTTGTGTCAGGGGAAGCTGAGCTCAATCAGAAGTAGGGGATTTGGCAGCTTCTAATAATAATCTTGGTCAGTGGGATTACCCTTCTCCCCTTTTGAACTATTCACTTCCTGAATCAAGTTTTAATTACTTTGGTTATAGGTTCACATTTGAAAGTAAAGTATGTTCCAAACATGAATACAATATACAAGGTGTTCATGCTTCTTTGGATAAGACGTATCAGAATTCATATCATGATGAGTATTTTTCCTCTCTTTTCCCTCCTTATGCCATCCAGACTGTTTTTACTGCTGTAATAAATATAAGTAATCCGCTGAAGACAGAGAACAAATTTTCAAATCCAAGTGTCTGCTGTTAAGCTCTTAAATCCATATTGGCGCTTACAGAAAATTGGCCTGCAGTTTAAAGGTGCTGAGCACCTGCCATTTCACTCACTTCAAGCACAGTGGGAGTCCTGGCTTTTTGGTGTCTTTTGAAAATAAATCCAGCAGTGCTTTACTTAAGAGTTTAAATATAGATGTTAGAATCTAACTTTAGACTCCAATTT